CCCTCCCCCGGCCGCCGCGGGTCCCCGCGTGCTCCCCGAGCCCCCGCATAGCACCCTCGCAGTCCCCCCGGCCGGGCCTCACCCGGGCACAGGACGCTGATTGCAGGTGCCGAGCAACTTCCTGCCGCCGCTGGACCTGAGCCGCATGCAGGCGCCGTTCGACACGCCACAGTTCAGACGGCTGTACTCCATCTTCCCCGTCAAGGACACGTGCCAGGTGGGTAAACCAGCCCAACAACGGGAAAAGGCCGACATTTTTCAAGAATCTTTTTATTTTAGAGCTAAAGATATGTATCTGTATACATTTATACAGGGTGGGCGATTCGCGCCGTGGTTTTTTTCTGCTTATGCTGTACCGGATTCATGCGTGCGGGCGGGCTTGCCTATCGTCGCTCGCCATGGCGCCTTACGGCCCCGTGCGAGTATGCAACCCGTCCGCACGCATGAACACGGTACAGTATAAGCAGAAAAAAACCACGGCGCGGATCACCCACCCTGTATCTTCAAAATTACTGCTACTACTGGTAGTACACATTCAGGGGCGGGGCGAATTATTTCCAGGTGGACCTAACGTGGGCGCTGCCGCCGTGCTCGCACCTGTACCGCTCCAAGCCGCACGACCTCGCCGCCTGGGTGCTGGGCCACGAGGGCCGCGGCTCGCTCGTCTCGTACCTGCGCCGCAAGCTCTGGGCGCTCGACATCTACACCGGCAACTGGGACGGCGGCTTCGAGATGAACTCGCTCTACTCCATGTTCAGCATCCACCTCACCCTCACCGACGAAGGTGAGCGCGGGCCGTGGGTAGGGGCGGGCGGGCGGCGCGTAAATCTTTATTTCTCCCAAGAATGCCCACAACGCTGCGGGGCCGTACAGATTTTCCTCGTGAATTATGTAAGCCGCGCTGAGCCGAGCGGAGAGAAGGCCGGGAGGGGCCTCTGAGGTACCCTACCCTCCCAGGAGGGGTTGGCAGGGAGGCAAGGAGAACTGATGCCACGCTTCGAGGCGGCGTGCGTGCCCGGCCCGGCTGCCTCGCGAGCGGGGACGCGTTCGCGAACCCTTCCGCGCACTCAGCATCCGCGCATCCGCACATCCGGGAGGCGCACATCCTCCGCAGGCCGCCACATCCGCGCGCTTCCGGTGGCCAGCGGCCTAAAATATGGATGAGAGTGAGAGGGAGGGAG